GGTTCTCAGAGACCCTGCTCCGAATCAACCAGAGAGCCCCGCTGCCTGGCCTTGGGCAAAGCGAGACACTCCCGCCCGCACGCCCTGCCCCTGGGGACTCCTCTTTCGTTGGACTCTTGCCCAGCTCCAGCACTTTTCAGGCAGACTCGTGCAGGCAAAGCCCCCACCGCTGGTGCCCAAGGATGGTGGTGCTGGGAAGGAGGGAGGTTGCCGCAGTGGTGTTGCAGCTGCATCGGGGCAACCATGCTCCAGGCAAGCTTCTCCTCTCACAGGGGCCAGGAACCCCCTCAAAGGCGGGCCACCAATCTATCACCTTCTCGGCTTCTGTATCTACTGCTGACCCTGAAAGTGGAGGCTCTGTCTGACTGTTGTAGGGAAGAGCCTCTAGAACAGGTGTCCTTCAACGTAAGGAAAAACGGTATTCCTGATGGTGAGATCTCTCCAACAGCGGACAGTCTCTCTGTGGGGGAGGTGGGTTCTCCATCTCTAGAGGCTTCCAAGAGGGGGTGGACAGTCCCCTCTCCAAGGCGGTTGGTTGGTTTTCCTGCATACTGCCGATGGTTGGACTAGATGACGTTTGTGGTCATTTCAGCTGTGCCATGATCGTAAGAGAAGTGCAGCTGGAGCAGGCCCCTTCTGTTTCAGTGTCCACTGGGTGGCTCTGGGAAACCCAGAAGCAGGGGACTTGGGGGCCACACCCTGTCGTTCACTTTACCCAGCCAATGGGAAGTCCCCTCTTCTCCCCCTCCCCCCCCCGAGAATGGATCACCTGGAGGGTAGCTTTCTCTACCAGCTTGCTGGCCTTCCTACGCCTCTTGGCAGCAAACCCCACCGTGTGAGTCCCCACTGGGATGAGAGGGGCTGCCGGCCTCATCTTCTCTGTGGCTGCCTCTGATCTCCCCATCTGGAATCCCTCCGCTCCCCAACAGCACAGGCACCGTTCACTCAGAAAGACTTTTATCTCTGACCCCAAAGGCAGAATTCCAGCTGGTCACCCTAAGTGCCCAGCAGAAGATGGGGGGGGGCTCTTCCCTCATCAACCAGACGCCACCCCTGGGTCGCAAGACGGCAATGCCTGCCCCACTGGCTCCCTTCCCAGGAGCTTGGCCTCAGTCGCCAACCTCCCCTCTTCCTGTGCCAGCCCTTCCTTCTCTCCGCGTGGCTCTCAGGGTTCCTCTCGTTTCTCCTGCTGCTTCGGCTTCTAGAAGGCTGGCATTGGAGCCAGAGGTCCCATGCTTCACTCCTCTCTGCCTGGGTAGCCAAATTCCCCCCACTTTCCCCTGCCAGGTATCCACCACAAGAGCCACCCTAATGACTTCAGAGAGCACACCATCTTTTCCTGACTGCCGGCCGGTCGGGCTGGCAGAGATGGAGAGCTGAGCTGCCCTCAAGTCTGATGCTACTACCCAACGGAGAAAGGCCTCCTGAGGCGGGCACATTGTCAAGCTGTGGGTTCTACTAGGCAGCTTCCCTCTAGCCCCGCTGTCCAGAGAGAGGGAGAGAGGCAAGCAAAGTGCCACCGCCTCTGCCGTGCGCCCTGGAGAAGCCTCGCGCGCCCGCCTGGGGTTTCGGATCCCACCGGGGGGTGGGGGGGACTGCTGCCATCCTCCGCCTCCTGTTTGGATCCGGCGCAAACCCAGCCCTTCTGAGGGAGGTCTAGGGGCTGAAGGCCACAGGGATTTGGTTCTCCAACAGGCGAGGGAGAGCCGGTCCCCGGAGGCTTGCCAGCTGCTTTGAGCACCCTTGCGTGCGCTCCTCTGCAATGTTGTGCGGCGACTCCTCCGCCCCCTCGGCAAAGGAACCGTGGGAGGGTCCGGAGCTCGAGAATCGTTCAGGCCACAGCCCCCCCCCCCCCCCTCCCCCCGCGCGGGTCCAGGGCCAGACATCGACTGAGAGGTGCTGTGATTCTTGGCCGTCGGTGATGGCGAGGCGAGAG